AAAGTTTTGGAAGATGGTGACATTCACTATGCAGTAAAAGTTCGAATCAAAGGTTTTTCTATGCTTCCGCTCTTTTTTTATTTCTATTTTCAAGGATTTTGGTCCGACTTCTTCATTGGTCGAGAATTTTGTCCGCTTCATGTGAGCGTGTGGTATGTTATTCTCCTAGTGTCTAGAGGTTGTGTGGTTCTAATCAGTGTAATCGATCTTGTGAATTTTCGTTGTTCATGGTTGGTAAAGCTTTTTCAACCTTGTTGTTCTGAACCACCGCTTCACCCTAGGAAGAAGAAAACGTTCAATTGGATTTTTTTTTTCAATGGCTGGTCAAACCGATGATTCAAAAAAAATTGTTCAACTGATTTTCCTTTATTGGTTGTTGGTCAAACTAATTCTCCCTTTCTGGTGGCTGATGTAGCCAGATCTTTTAGTTGTAATTTTTTATTCTCTGTGGAGTAGTAACAAGAGCAGCAAGACTGTTAGACTAGACTACATTATTGCGGGGTTAATGATCTGGAAGGATTCATTGGATTTTTTCCATTTTATCTCTTTTCATTGTAGCCTTGGAACATTTAAAAAAAAAAAACTTTCCACCATTTGTTGTAGGAGTTCGTCTTCCAAGTCAATTATATTGGGATCAACTCAAACGAATTAATTTCCGAATAGACATGAATTTATCTTCTAGCTATGAATTAAGAAGAAGCTTTCATAAATTCAACTTCATTACAAAATCTGTTTTACATGTTGGTAATGTTTGTACTCCGAAAGAAAACTAAATATGTAGGTTGTATATCTTGTTAAGAAAGTCTAATTTTCCTAATGATATTGCCTGAGTTTGTAAGATGAGACCGGCCAACACTACAATCGCATCTAATGGTAATTACATTGAAAAAAAAAATTGGAAGAGCATTTCAAAAAAGTTGAATAATAATAATCTCTAGTAATCATAAAGATCTTTTTTTTTATAAACATAGTGCAAGCTCTTTTTAAACAATCTAGTGTACCGATTCTTACAACATTACACAGGGAACCCTTTTTTTCTTGCTATTATTGGTAATATATGAAAATCTATAGCAGTATCGATGCCAATTTATGACAGAGTTAGTATCATTTTAAAATATATAGATAATTATTTGAGAAGAGTGGTGGTTTTTATTTTCCCTGGAAGGCACAGGTCAACTCCATCAGTTCTCTCTTGTTTCAGACTTTGAACTAAGATTTTAGAACTCTATTATGACATGAAAATTGGATTGAAAATGACAAAAATACGGAGTTCCATGTCTCTCAGCTTGAGCCACGTAGGATCAATTAGCCTTTATTATTATATATTTGGGTTTCTAAAGGTCAAACTGATAGGAAAAGTAGTTCAAAACTCTATATGTTGATTTGTGTTTCTATACACAATCGATGTGAGACTGGTTAATACGCTCCCGCAAGATGCCTTGTAATATATGTGCTTGTTATTGGGACTTTCTTGAATATACATGTCTATTGGAGCTTAATTTTCTCTAATATCGTAATACAAATGAAATATTTTATGAATGGCTTACCATATAGGGAGCATTAACCTTATTTTTATAATAATAGCCCAAGTATATGAAAATTACAAACTAATCCTCTGACTATACATTATTACACTACATCAATCTGTGTAGGAGAAGCAATGTGCAAAACTGCAAATTGGGACATAAAAAAATCAAAACATTACCTAAACAAATATTTCATAAAAATATCAGATAATTGAAACTAAGTGAGAATATATCGACTATGAGATCTCCATGAGAAACCTATTCATGAACAAATGATGGTCAATTTTGATGTCTTTGATTGACAACTAAGTAGGATACAAAAACATGCAATTGAACCGTAGACTACTTTCTAGAGCACCAAGAAATAATGAATGAAAGCAAATACTCCGTATATGTGAAATAATAGTTTGTATATTCTTGTCTTGAACCGATGGCCATACAACAATATATAAACAAAGGAGATAACTATCTTAGGAAACATTTACCAAAGAAGATTACATGTAGTATAATTATGGGAACAAAACTATATACGTACGTATAGTAAATGTCTTCACACACACCCTCAAGTTGAAGCACAGGGATTGCACACGCCCAACTTGTTGATACGAAAATGAAATTGATGAGCACCTAAAGGTTTGGTGAAAATATCAGCAAGTTGCTTGGTAGAAGAGATGTGATGAGTAGATATGTGGCCACCAGTAATCAGATCGTGAACGAAGTGACAGTGAATCTCAATGTGTTTCGTGCGTTCATGAAACATACGATTAGAGGCAATATGAACGGTTGTTTGATTATTGCAATGAATCTGCATGGGACAAGAAAGAGAAACACCAAGCGAGCGGAGCAAACTCTTAAGCCAACAGTAGATTTTTTCTTAGTTTTCCAGGACACGGGAGAGTTACCGAGCAAAACAATATACCCACTCAAGGGAGATGTCAGAATCAAACCGAAGAAGAATGCCTTATCATGCACTGCCCTTGAGATATCGAAGAAGATGAAGAACTGTATTGCATCCCGCCCAGTGATATGTCTGAGGTTCCTTCATGAATTGAGCAAGGATATGAATGCCAAAACTGAGTTCAGGTCGGGTGAGTGTTAAAATAAATGAGTTTGTCGACCGCACAACGATATCAGTCAGGGTGAGAGAATAGAGGACTCTAAGGATGTTTTTACTTGGACTGTAATTTGCTGGTCTGGTCTGGTCTTGTCTGAACTGGTCTGGTATGGTCTGGTCTGGTTTCTTTGTATTTTTATAACTATCCAAGTCTGGTCTGGTCTGGTCTGAACTGATTTGGTCTGGTCTGAACTGATTTGGTCTGGTCTGGGATGAATTGCGGTCCAAGTAAAAACATCCTAAAAGTGGAAAGTTTGTGATTTTGTTCCATTTTTGTTTTGGATAAAATGTAAATATATTATTACCCAAAGTAAAGTTTACAAAATTTAAAGCCCCCCCCACCCCCTCCTGTAATAGGAGAGGGTTGGAAGGAGCTTTCACTTCAAAACGGACATCACCAAAGATAGCCATAAGGCTCACCTATGCCGCGGCATAGGAAATCAAAAAGAAACAAAACAGGACTGCGCCTTAGTGCACACACTTAGCCTATCAAAACCGAGGCTATACAAACGGCTTTCATCGTTCTTATCAAAATGTGATCAACTCATGTGGGTATATGTTGTAGAGTACCTTATACACCACATGTTTGACCTTAGCAACAACCTCTTCCTCCTTCTTCATCTTTCCATCAAATCTGCACTCATTCCTAGCATGCCAAATGTAGTACACCGTTGCACAGAGAGCAATGCGGGCTGCTTTGGCCTTCAACGTTGATCCTTTATGGGTCTTCTTGATCCATTTGATTGAACTCAGCAAGGTAGACATCTCATGTCTTAGTCCCATCCAGCTCCTTACGTGATGCCACACCCTACAAGTAAAGGGGCAAAGAAAGAAAAGGTGTGATATTGTTTCCAAACCACCCTTACATAGATCACACCGGTTCACGATATAAAGATACCCGAGGCTATCTTGTGTAGGTAGTCGGTTTCTTAGGGCCAGCCATGCATTAAATGAGAGTTTGGGGGGAATGTAGGATTTCCATATGAAACTCATAGGAGTCCTAGCTTCTCCCTTGACCCTTAGGAGATCATAAACTTTTGCGGAGGCTAATTTACCATTCGAGGCTCTCGAGGCAAGGCCCATGATAGTGTCATTGAGATTATTGAAGCACCCTCGGATCTTATCACGGATGAGACTCAACCGCTTCATGAGCTGTGAGTCCCGGGTGTGTGGGATAAAATCCCACACGGTTCTACCTTGAAGGTATACACCGTTCACCCATTTGACCCAAAGGGTGTCCTTCTTCATATGGACATCCCATAAAGTACGAGAGAGGAGGGCGTGATTCCATACCTTAGCATTATGAATGCCAAGTCCTCCTTCCTCTTTTGGGAGACAAATGTCTTCCCAAGCTACTTTCGAAAATTTACCACCCCATAAGAATATTCGACAGATCGATACTATCCTATCCAAAATAGTTTGGGGAATTGGGAAAACTTGGAGCCAAAACGACTGGACCCCTTGGATCACAGATCGTATTAGCTCTAGTTTACCGGCATAGGAGATCGTCTTTGTGTTCCATGCGTTTAGAAAATCGTTTATCGTATCAAGAAGGGGGGCATATTGTGCCACGGAGATTCTTAGCGGTGCTAGTGGAATTCCAAGGTATCTCACCGGGAATACTCCATGACCATAATCAACGAGGTCCAAAATGTTTTGTAAGTCCAACCCATGAACCCCTCCCACGAAAATATTGGATTTATTATGGTTAACCCTAAGGCCTGAGACTTCTCCAAACTCTTTAAGAGCATCGACCAATACTCCAATGGAATATTTGTCTCCTCTCGAGAAGAGCATGAGATCATCCGCATAGGCCAAGTGAGTTATTCCCAACGAGCCACATAGCGGGTGGTGATTAAACCTCGAATCCATGCTTTTGATGGTAAGGAGGCGCGAGAAATATTCAAGGCATACAACGAAGAGCAAAGGGGACATTGGATCCCCTTGCCTAATGCCACGCTTACCATTAAAGAAACCATGTAATGTACCATTCAAAGAGACAGAAAAAGAAGCGGTAGAAACACACTCCATAATCCATCCCACAAATCTATCGGGGTAGCCCAAACCCCTAAGTACATTGGCAAGAAAGTCCCACGAGATAGTATCATAGGCCTTTCGCAAATCCACCATTATCATACAACGAGGTGAAATTCGCTTCCTATTGTATCCTCTAACAAGTTCCTGGGCAAGGAAAATGTTATCAAACATTAGGCGGCCATCCACAAATGCACCTTGTGCCTTGTTAATCAAACCCGCAAGGGTCGGGATCATTCTTGCCGCAATAATTTTTGTAATAATCTTGTAAAGCACATTAGTACATGAAATAGGCCTATAATCCGAGACCCTAGGGGAGTGACTAGTTTTAGGAATAAGTGCTATAATAGTATGATTTAACTGTTTAAACAGCCTTCCCGAGTTAAAGAACTCCTTAGTCGACCGGATCACATCCTCCCCCATAATATTCCAATTTTTCTTAAAAAATGCCGAGGAATAACCGTCCGGCCCCGGTGCCTTGTCATCCCCGATATCAAACAAAGCATCTTTAATTTCTTTGCTAGTTATCGGAGATAATAGGCTATCATGAACACTTGGTTCAATCAAGGGGCTGGTTCCTAGTACCGTTTGGTCAATGGAAAAGGTTTCCATCTCGGTGCCAAAAAGATCAACAAAAAATTTTACAAATTCATTTCCAACATGATCAATGGACGTAGTGAGGTTACCATCATCCATCGTAATGGAGGTTATGGTATTCCTAGCCATGTTCCTCTTGACGATATGCTTAGCTTTAGCTCGTTGTTGGAAGAAGCTACACTCGGCCTCACCAAGGAAAGTAGCTCTCTTTCTCACCACCTTTACTCGCTCTTTAAGCTCGGCATCATCGGGTGAGTCAATCATCAACTTGTTTAGCCTTTTGAATTCATCTTTTGCACTCTTTGTCTTCATAGAGATGTGGCCAAATTCCAATTTGTTAAGATTCTTAAGCGGCTGTTTTAGCAACTTAAGTTTCTTAGCAATTTGAAATTGAGCCGTTCCATTGATATTCGCATTCCAACTCTGCATAAGTATGTTAGTGAAAGCATCGTGTTGAATTCACATGTTAAAAAATTTAAAAGATTTGGGCCTAAGAGAGGTATTATTGAGTATAGATATCACGGTAGCCGTGTGATCAAACTCAACCTCCATTTCATCGAAATGGGCCTTACACTTGATCCCTAGGTGATCCCATGTATTATTGAGCAAAACCCGATCAAGCTTAGCCCACAAAGATCCCTTATTCCAAGTATAGAATTCTCCCGTGAAGGGGGCATCTTGGAGGCTAGCACGGATTTTAAACTCAATCAAATCTCTTAAAAAATAGTCCGAGGGTGCATTCGAACCCACCCTCTCACTAGGAGAACAAACACAATTAAAATCACCAGCTATAATCCACGAGTCTTTGATTTAATCCCCAAGAAGAGCCAAGTATTCCCACAATGCCTTGCGCCTCAAGACTGTATAAAGTGAGTATACAAAGGTAGCAAAGAAAACAGTTTGCGAAGTGCGGCATAGACATTTAAAATGCATATATTGTTCCCCCATTTCAATCAAATTGCATGATATTAAATTAGGATTCCAACACACTAAAATTCGCCCCCCATCAATAAAATCATGGTTTGTTTCAAAAGACCAACCGGGCCATTTATTAGAGACAAAATTAAAAATATTTATTTTTGTCATTTTGGTTTCTAAAAAACAACATAAGCTTGCTTGGTGAAATTTAACTAAATTTAAAATAGTAGAGTGTTTGGAGGGTTTTTTCAAACCTCTCACATTCCATACTATTGCTTTAAAATTCATCCGAGACCGATTCGTTGGAGGATTGGCAGCCCTCCTTATTCGCCCCTTCCTTCATTTTTTTGATTGCTTCAAATCTCCTCATTGCCTCCTTGAAATACTTCTTGTTTTCCCTAGTTGTTACATCAAAGAAAGAAGCCACATAAGTATAAAAAATGCTATGATTAAATTTATACCATTCATAATGCGGTGTCACTCTCGGAAGCTTTCGAAGGCATTCATCCGTGAATGAGATTCCTCCCTCGTCATCCCTCACTTTTTGTAGTTCCGGTCCAAGCCTCTTGATTTGGTGATGCGATGGGATGTCCTTCTTTTGCATTACATATATGATCTTCTTTTTGTTATCATCATAAACGATTCTAGTGACCACATCTCCCTCTTGGATATCATATACATTGCGAATGATCTCACCCCCCAATTCATCAAAGCTAATGTTCCCACTCTTCGGAAAATTGATAGTCTTTTCACTTGATTTGCTCCCGGAAGATGCCTTTGAAGTCTCGGCAGTTTGTTTAGGAACGGTGAGCCTTGGTGCAACTTTTACTGCCTCGGCAGTTTGTTTTTGGGCACTGGCAGCCTGTTTTGGGGCATGGGCAGCCTGTTTTGGGGCCTGGGCAGCAGGGGTCGTGGCCTTAGGTGTAGAAGTTGAGGCCGCGGCATTAGTTGTAGGCGCCTTAGAAGTAGGAACCTTTGGCGTGATCAAGTTGCGCACATTTGCTTTGGGTTTAGAGACCCATTTCTTTTTCTTCTTGGCCTCCACCCACTCCCCATTCTCTTGCACATCATTCTTTTTCTTTTCAACCCAAATTTCCTTCCCTTTGCCATCATCCTTTGATTTCTTTCCACTCACGTTGAAGCCTTTTTTTCCCTTCGGAATGTCACCGGGTTGGTTGGAACCCCCTTCTTTTGAGTTGTTAGCCGCGGTATTGGCTACACTTACAATTTTGTTGGTAGCTTTTGCATCCTCATTCTCTACCAACTCCTTGTTTAACACTTTGCATGTGAAGGGGTGATGTCCATAAACCTTGCACTCAAAACAATAGTTAGGAAAAGTTTCATATATGACATATTGATTCCTTTCCTTACCGGACGGTTGTATAATCGGGATGGACATAGTAGGTGGTCTAGTGAGGTCAACCTCCACCAATACCCTAGCGAATTGAGACCTCGATTTTTCTTGAGTCACCTTGTCCGCCACAATAGGGACTCCAACTCTAGAGGCAAGCTCACTCATCTCTTGTTTGTTCCAAAGTGTAACCTATAGGCCGGGGAATTTAACCCATATTGGGACTTTTAAAAATTCCTCACCATCAAAGTCAAAGTCCTCGGATAATATCCTTAAGAACACGGCCTTACCATAAAGGGCATAGGGTCCTTCGGCCATGACTTTGTTACGGTCATTCTCACTTTGAAATTGGAAGATCACCCACCCTTTGTCATGTTGCTTGAGCTTGCATGGGACTCCCCATTTGATGGATAGATCATGGAATGCTCGCATGCCCGGAAATCTACCTGAAACAAACCCCACCAAGCAATACCCCCAAATATCAATAATAGTAGGGAGTTTTCTATGGGAGAAATCTACCTTTTCACCTTTTGGAGGGATATATTCCAACTTCATGCCATGCTCAATGGACCGGTTGTTTTGGAAAAGTTGATTCCAAGCATTCTTCTTTGGCTCTTCTTTCTTTTATTTGTTTCCAACCTCAAATAGGGAATCAACACTTCCCGTTTCCACATCATCCTCATCTTCCACAAGGCCATCAATTTTTGTATTTTCCATCCTTTGCTCCTCTTGAATTTGCTTGAAGGAGAATTCAATAGACCCTACTTTGATGGACTTCTCAAACGTAGGATCAATATGCGTAGCCTCCACCGGTTTGGACACCCCCGAGGAGGAATCCTCCACCATAGCTTTGAGGGAGACATCCTCCATCACTTGTGGCTCCTTAGTAGCATTGGCCTCATGTAAATTGATCTCCTTTGTTATAGGTGCAGTTTGCACCGTTAGCTTGGGAGCAGTTTTAGCTTTCTTGGATGTTACTTCCTTCTCACTATTCTCCACTTCTTTCTTGTTAGCCTCCATCTCGGCTTTTCTTGCATTCAACTTCCTTATTTTGTCATCAAAAGCCGAGTCTTTAGATGGTGGTGTACGAGATTGTTTATTGTGCCTAGTCATTGGACAATACACATTTCTTGTACAAGAGCTTGACTAATTGACCTACAAGAGTTAGTACAAACAAAAACAAACACCAAAGACTTGGGGTGCAAAAGCTTGGTTCGTACCTTAGGCAAAGTACTAGGTTCTCAAAATACTATAGGAAGTATCCCAAAGTATAATAAGTCCCTATGTAAGTGCAGTTGCCCCAACGGATAAGCACAAAAGAAAATGGACAGTCCTAGCTTGTATTTTGCACTGTAGCAAGCAGTAGGTTCCGGGAATTTTGGAAGTATTCCAAAAATTCCCAAACAATTCTTGGAGGTCTTCCTTAGTATTTTAAACAACCTGGCAATGTTAGGATACAGAGAATCCAAGTAGAAAATCCAAGATTAGGAAAATTCGTACCTTAGGTGAGGTGTCCCAAAAACTTCTCAAAAAAACTATGGGAGGTAGCCCAAAGTGTATTAAACCCCAGGTATGTTCAGTTGTAGCACCGGAGTAGCACAGAAGTTAGGAAAAAAAATCCTAACTAGTTCTTTTTACTGTAGCAGTCAGAAAGCCCAAGAAATTTGGAAGTGTTCCAAAAATTTTCAAAAAATTCTGGGACGTCCTCCTCAGTATGTTTAACAACCTGGTAATGTTAGAACAAGCAAAAACCAAATACAAACGACTGGAGAATCGATTAACTAATTCTGGTTACTGTAGCAGTCAGAAAGCCCAAGAATTTTTGAAGTGTTCCAAAAATTCTCAGAAAATTCTGGGATGTCTTCCTCAGTATAATAAACAACCTGATAGTGTTAGAACAAGCAAAAGCCAAATACAATTGACTGGGGAAACGATTTACTAGTTCTGGTGCGCAGAAAATACTGTAGCAGTCTCCCAGGGAAGATGAACAGTAGCGCAGAGCACAAAACCAGTTAAACAATTCCCAGAAAAAACACCAGAGGTGTTGCTGGACCTGGCGAAGCTCACAGAGAAACAATAATTCACAGAATCAACGTATATTTTGCAGTAAAGAGGGTCAAAACAGACTGACCTTCGTCGTTGCTACAGTGCACAAGAATTGGGGGAAAACGAATTACCGGCTTGTAGCAGCTAAAATCAGTACCCAAAGCTTCGTCTCAGCTAGATGAACTTTAATCCAGCTTCAGATTCCAGATTGAGCGAGCATAAATGAAGAAATCTGCAGAATTGCAGACTGCGATGAACAGTGCCCGTTCGTAACAAACCTTCTCAAAGTCCGGTACGGCGGCGCGGCGGAAGTCCCAAACCAGGTGTCGGAGGTACGCCAGAGGCCGGCGACCCCCAAACCAGCTTCCTTTTCCACAACCAACCGTCCAATTTTAGATCCAAGCTCAATTTGTAAATCTGGAAGGAACAGTAATTGTGCGCACAGAGGCTTCTAAAAGAGTCGGTCCTTGCTTCAGAAACCAATTTCTCACAAATCCAAACGGTAGATGTGAAAGAGGAAAGATTTCCGAGTTAAGAACAAGAGGATTAAAGGGAATCAATGGGTGAACTCTCAAGATTTTCAGCAACGGAGTACGTGCGAACTAGAATTTCCGTCCCAGGGGGTGCGAAATATTCTAGTGAGAAGCTGGAGCTTTTCTCTACGCAACACTACTAGACTCCGATATCTTTCGTGCTGTTGTTCCATGGGACATGCTTAGGGCTTGTTTCCGGATAAAACAAGTTCAGACCGAAGATCAAGGACTTCTTTCCCTTGACAAAGAATAAGAACGGACTTATTGTATCGTACGTAGGTATGTATGTGGTTTCTATGGATAATATGAAAGTGGATAATCATGAAGAGAGAAGCTCCTCCCTCTTCTCTCTAAAACTCCGGCCACTTCTTTAATCATCACCCACCCAATGAAAACTACTTTTACACTCACTGGGATTCCCCTCGATACATAGATGGATTATGCTATAGGGACTCCCCACCGGCCAAATACGATCTCCCAGCATCCCCAAATCAGGAAATATCATGACCGAAGACCCCAAAGAATTCGAGCATCCCCAAACATCATTTTCGCAATACACAAACGTACGCATATTCAGAGGTTGGTACCCAGTGTGAGAAATAATAACAGACTTACCTAGACTGGTAGCCCTGACAGTATATATATAAGAAATAAGTATCTGAGTACAATTAGGAAACTACCTAATAATTAATACTTAATTAATTCTACACTATTACACCCCCTCAAGCTATGCAGGAGGAACTACGCGTAGATTGTCTCGAAGAAATAAAAACTGCTGAGGAGCCAAGCTTTTTGTAAAAATATCAGCCAACTGAAACTTCGTAGGAACATACTGCACCAGGAGATCACCATGAGCCACACGTTCGCGAACAAAATGATAGTCAATGTCAATGTGCTTGCTGCGAGCATGCTGAATGGGATTAGCAGATAAATAAGATGCAGAAATATTATCACATAGAAGCCGAACCGGACGATGTATAGGAAACCCAAGTTCGAAAAGTATGGACCGAATGTGTAATGTATCCTGCACAGTGTAGGCAATAGCTCTATACTCGGCTTCTGTAGAAGACATGGAGACAGTGGGTTGCTTCTTGGAACGCCATGAAATCAAGGTAGGACCCAGAAAAATAGCATAACCTGAGGTAGATCGACTGCTATCAGGACAACCAGCCCAATCAGCATCAGAGTATGCAACAACAGAGGTGGGGCGTGCGGAAGGCTGAAGTTGAAGTCCATGCGTGATAGTGCCCTGAAAGTACCTGAAAATTCTCTTTACAGCAAACATATGTGAAGTACGAGGAGCATGCATAAATTGGGATACCAAGTGAACATCATATGTAATATCAGGTCTAGTCATAGTCAAATACTGCAATGCACCTACCATGCTACGGTACTCAGTAGGATCAGAAAGTAACTCACCATCAGTGATAGACAATTTAGTTCTATTTGGTAGCGGTGTGCGAACGGGTTTCAGTGTATGAAGATGAAATCTGGATAGAAGATCAGACACATATTTGGCTTGAGATAAGAATAAACCTGATGAAGTACGCACAGCCTGAACCCCCAAGAAAAAATGAAGATCACCAAGATCCTTCATTGCAAAATAATTTCCCAAAAGAGAGATAAATTTCCGAATGAGAGAGGAGGAATTTCCAGTGACTATAATATCATCCACATATAAAAGTAAATAAATGATGCTAGTGTTATGACGAAAAATAAACAGAGAATTATCAGCACGACTGCAAAGAAAACCATTTGTTAAAAGGAAGCTACTGAAATGATAAAACCAGGCCCGAGGAGCTTGCTTAAGACCATAAATGGCCTTGCGCAAGCGACAAATGTGATTAGGAAAATGTGGATGAATGAATCCCGGTGGTTGACGCATGTATACCTCCTCTGTGAGATGACCATGAAGAAATGCATTTTTAACATCAAGTTGACGAATGGGCCAATTATAAGACACTGCTAAGGTGAGAACAATGCGAACGGTGGTGGGTTTAACAACAGGACTAAAAGTTTCAGAAAAATCAACTCCAGCTTGCTGCTTAAAACCTTGAGCAACCAGACGTGCTTTATGCCGTTCAATAGAGCCATCAGATCGATACTTAGTTTTATATATCCATTTAGACCCAACCACATTTTTACTAGAATTAAACGGTACTAATTCCCATGTATTATTAGCAATAAGTGCATTAAATTCCTCAGCCATAGCAGCCCTCCATTTTAGATCTTTATTTGCAATAGAAAAACAGGTAGGATCAGGAATTAAAACCCCAGTATTTAAATTAAAAATTGTTTTGGGTTTAAAAATTCCTGATTTTGATCGAGTTTGCATGGGATGAACATTAGTAACACTCAAATTTTCGCCTGTGGTAACCTCACGCGCAGAACCCGGAGATGTCGTCGACACCGTGCTAGCTGGCAACCCCGGAGTGGACACCGCACCCCCTGCCGACGAGGCAGGTGAGCTAGGTTCCGAGAAGGCATACTGCGGAGCCGAGAGGATACCGGGCTGCTGTGGGCTGTTCGACGTGTCTGAAAAATTTGGTGGGGACAGAGATAGTAGCGGCTGATCAGTAGGTGGTGCATACACCAGAGAAGACATAGAGATGGACATAGAGCTGGACGTAGCAGGTGCGGACTCAGAAGAAGTGGTGAACACTAATTGATTGTATGGAAAAATATTTTCGTGAAACTTGACATGACGACTGACATAGATTCGTCCCGTTTTAGGATCAAGACACCTGTACCCCTTATACTCAGACGCATATCCCAAAAATACACATTGTATAGACCTAGGAGAGAGTTTGTTGGAAGATGTTGCCGTAAAATTGGGGTAACAAGCACATCCAAACACACGCATAAAAGAGAAATCAGGAGACCGGTGAAATAATTTTTGATACGGAGAAAAATCAGTAAATTTGGTGGAGGGTAATCGATTAATAATATAAGTAGCTGTCAAAACAACCTCAACCCAAAATGTAGCTGGTAAACCAGCATCAATAAGCATGGTGCGGGCAAGTTCAATGAGATGGCGATGTTTGCGTTCAGCTAAACCGTTTTGTTGTGGTGTGTCAGGACATGATTTTCGAAAGAGAATGCCATGATTATCAAAAAAAATTCGCATACTGAAATTATCAAACTCACCCCCTCCATCACTTTGAAAAATTTTAATTTTGTGGTCTAGTAAATTTTCCACCAGCCTCTTGAAAGATTGAAAATGAGTAAAAACTTCACTTTTACGGCGCATAGGATATATCCATGTAAAACGAGAGTAATCATCAATAAACGAGACATAATATTTAAAACCATCATGAGACAACACAGGGGATTGCCAAACGTCTGAATGAATTAAAAATAATTGTGTTTTTGAACAATGAAAAACATCTTGAAAAGGTAATCTGTGAGATTTACCCAATCGACACGAGGTACAATCATGATTAAAAGATGAAAGACTACAAAGCTGACCAGACTTTCTAAGACTATCTAAAACTCGAGTGCCACAATGCCCCAACCGGCGGTGCCATAAAGGTCCAGGTGCCGCATTAGAAGAAAGTGCCAGAACAAAATATGAAGGAACACGAATGGGATAGAGACTGCCGCTACTGGAAGCCTGTAGAAGAATTGCCCCCGTTGTTTTGTCCTTTAGAAAAACAGAATTTTTGTCAAAAATCACCATGCAATTATTATCAGAACATAATTTTTGTATAGATAGTAAATTGTATTTTATCTGAGGCACATGATAAACAGATCTTAGATGAAGAGGCTTTGATTCGGAATTAATAAAAATATCACCAACATTTTTAATGGGAAGGGTGGTACCATTTGCAACAGTAACATTTAATGGTCCAGAATAAGTAGATTTATTTACTAGTGTACCTTCCTGAGGAGTCATATGGGCAGAGGCACCGGAGTCTGGAAACCAGACAGCGTCATGTGAATCACTCATAGGCGCAGCCAGTGCTGGAGCTGAGGGCTGGGAGAAACTAGAGGGACACGAAACAGTAGAGTGACCTGGAGAATAACAGATTTGACAGACAATTGGCGGGGGGAATAGAACCAAATTGGCCATCAACTAACGGGGAGCCTGCATATCCATAATTAGTAACACAAGCAGAATAGGGATGCGTATTAAACGATGAATAAACTGTATTACATAATACTGTACCTGGCCTGCCCGGATGTGAAGGCTGCTATGGAGAAGGCTGATAATAGGGCTGCTGAAAATACCCCCCTTGCGCTGGTCCTGGCCGTGAGTGGTAATAGGCAGGAGGCTGAGCTGGAAACCCCTGCTGATACTGGCCGTACCCGCGACCACGTCCACGGGAACCTCGCCCTCGTTGTCCGCGGCGACCTCTGTCGCGGTGATTCTGGAAGCCACCTCGGGCGTCGGGCCCTGGAGCAGCAGGTGCTGCCGGGTGAGCAGCAAACGCAGTAGGGCTGACGGCAGCTTCTTGGGATCTAAGGTAATGAATTTGTTGCTCCTGTTGGACCAGTCGCTCGCGTAGTTTATCAAAAGTAAGACCTTTGGGGAACGAGGATAAGGTTGTAATGATGGACTCATATTCAGGACCCAGGCCAAGCAAAGTCTGTTCTACAAGGTCTTTCAGAGAAACCGGGGAATTGATAGTAGCAAGAGCATCAGCAATTTTCTGTATTTCACGCATATATTGTTCCATATATTGGTTCTCTTTCTTTTTAATATTAGTAAACAATCGTTTTAACTCCATGGAACGAGCCAAACTGGCTGCCATAAAACGTGACTCCAGACGGTCCCATATAATAGATGAAGTTTTAAGGGTATGAACTTCAACGAGTATATCACGTGACAAAGTAGCAAACAGCCATGAACGGACTGTTTGATCTAACTTTAGCCAGTAATAAAACTCATTGTTAGCAATTTCTCTCCGAAGATTATCAAAAATAGTAGAAGGAGGAGGAGAAATTGTACCATCAAAAATGCCCATTAATCCATGAGATACCAGAAAGGACTCGAATTGTATGCGCCATGGAAGGTAATCTTCGACAACATCAAGCTTGGTAGTGACAATATTGGTGATGTTGGGGGCTGAAAATCCCATAGATTGAGCAATAGCCTCAAGGGAACCGACTGTCATGGAGGGAGGAGGACGTCCAATCGCCCGGAGAGATGCGGGAGGAGCCAAACCTTGTTGGCCAGTCATGGTTGCACCACCAAACGGGGCCCTGGAGGAGTCTGCCGTGACCGGTGGATCGGAGATCGATAGAACTGGTTGCCGAGAAGGAGTCGGCGGTGACCAGTCAAACGTCGGTGGAACCCAGGCGGACATGTCCGGTGCGCTGCTCATCGGAAAAGGCCTGGAGAGAGACTGCTGCATTACGTAGGAGGAACCAAAAAACGGACCTGCCGGTGCCGTCGACATCACGTTTGAAGGAGGCGTTGTAACGGCGGTCTGCGAATTTGAGACTGGCGGCGCAACCGTAGGGTTGCTGGCGGCGACCGTGCTCATGGCGGAAGACGGATTTTTTTTAAATAACCCTAGCTCTTGATACCATGTGAGAAATAATAACA